TGCATTCACGTCGGGCCCTCGGTGAGAATCAGCGCCGCCGCTCACGGACGAGTCCGCTTTCATCCTCGGTGCTCCAGCTTCTGCCTCTCCTCCAGCCTGCGCGCTTCCTCTACTGTCTGATTACTCGCTCCCGCAGTGACGTCATGCCAGGACCAGGGAGGCTTCCTGACCAATCACGGCGGCCGTTGGCACCAAAGAGGGTCCGATATCAGGAAGACGTCTCACTCCTGGCTCTTTCATAACTCCATTTACCATATTTACCATGTTTTCTTCTCTACTACCACCTAGAGCAGTCGTAGTAGTAAAACTACACTAAAAGGCCCAGATGGATAAAATTATCTCACTTCCAGATCTGTTTAGTATTTAGCTTATGGAGTCATGACATTTTTTCAAAGACTCAAAGGACTTCTTATTCACGCTGTTTCCAAAAAATTTGGTGTTGGCCAATTTCTGTCCCTGTTCCTCTGCAATGGGAAGACTTGGAAACAAGAAAAAATTAAATAAAAAAGAACATGTCTTGCAATCCTTTTAAAAACATTTCTTTATTCTTAAACCAAGATCACGTCAGTATTATATCTCTTAAATACGCTGTTATATTAGAGTACCGCGCTCTCCGCAAATCAATGTATATACGTATATATGAACACATTTTCATTTTCAGAGTTGTGGCCCTAACATTAACGTTATATATATATGGTTAAAAATCATTTTAAACAAGTCACACTTTGCAGCTTGCAAAGTCATAAAGCAACTATGGTGACCGCATGCAGCCACATTGTTTGCTTTGAATTTTTCCACTTCAGAAATGAAGCTTTTCGTAAATGCAGACCAAAAATCGCGCCTTTTGCAAAGCGTCTTTGGAGGGCTGGAATAAGGGGTTAGCTTTCTTGGTTCAATAAAGGATCTTTGATGGTTTGTGTGGGAAGTGTGGGAAATGAGCATCAGGGGCCATGGCCAAAAGCAGAACGAACAGTTCACGGTTAAAAATATTTTTTTGTTTACTTCTTTGAAACTAAACTACACCATAAATAATGCACAAATTGAATGTGCTTTAGTTGTGTTTACAGCAAATAATGTCAACTCAACCTCTCTTAATAATTGATTTCACTCTAACTCCCTCTGCATTTCAGTTTCATTCCAGATTTTACGGTCATTTATTTTTCAAAATACTTTTTTGACCTATGCAAAGACCAAGCACACTTAGCCTAAAAAAAAGACAGTCTATTAAAACCCGCTGATAATGGACAGTGTAAATTATGTATATATGCATTAAATATTTATTAGTAATGCAAACATCCAATAGGTTATGTGTGAAAAACATTAATAAAAAAAGTTTGATTTGCTTCACCCTGATGGGCCTTGGCCTACCTTGTGACAGTCTTTGAGGTGTGGTGTTAAATCATGAGCAATAACTGTAACATGGATTTATCTTTTATTAAGCATAGCAACACCAATCCACAGACAGGATGTGCAATAAACAGTTCACAGCATTAAACAGAGCTCAACACAGCACACAAAGCCATTTGGGAACATGC